TCCCTCACCCCAGGGGCCTCGATCTGTGCCCCCACCCCAAACACCCCTTCCCTCCCCCCACACCAGACTTACCATCCAGATGCTGGCCTCCAAGTTTCCAGGCTGCACTCCTGACCCTGTGCACACTGCATCTGTGTGCATGCATGGGCACTTATCAGACAAAAAGGCTGATTCCTGATACTTTCAATTTTCCCTAAATCGGTGCCAATCTGATATGGGACCAAAGTATCGGTGCACCTCTAATAATTAGGATGATGTTTATTTGTTTTTACCTAATTGTGTACAGCAGACAGAGAGAAATGGCAAAGGAATATTTCAGCAGCAATAACTAGAGAACTCAAAAGAAATGTTTACTCCTTGCAAAGGCAAAAGTGGTACTGGACTGCTCACTTTCTACAAATTTTGAGATAACACTATTTGGCAACCGTTGGGCCTTTTGGATCATGGTGTATGCATGATAGGTCACCCAGACCTTCGATACGTATGCCTAGGCAGGAGTTTTGGAGGAGTGGAGGTTGCCCAGACCTTCCATCCCCACTTTAGGCCACTGAGACAGAATCCAAAAGCCAGACTGAGCTCAGATGTTTGGTGCCTCCATGGCTGTATTTGTACAAACATCCAGGAATGGAACCTTGGTCTCCTGTGTGGCAGGCAAGGATTCTACCACTGAACCACAGGAGACTCCAGATAACACTGTAAGACTCTAAAATGTTAGGGAGTAAAGAAACCTTTGGAAAACAGGAATCTTTCCAACTGCTACTATCCTGCAGAAGGCAAGATATCTGAAAGTTAAATGGCCAGGGTTTAACAGGGGACCTGCTCGGGGCCACTTTCCCTGTGGCCTGCCCATCTGTTCTTGGGCTACCCACCTGCGTTCTCGCCCACCATGCCTTGATGTTAATTAGTTAATCTATGTTAATCAAGTGGGAGGCTGCCCGTTTTCTGCCCTGATGCCAGGGGGCACTATCTACAGCTCCTTTCCTTCCCTACACTGCAGCCCAAGCCTCGCAGATGGCATCTACAGTTCTTATAATCACCGGGGCCCACACTGGGCCCCAGAATCCTACTATTGAACCCCACCTGGATTCCTCTCCTCAGGCAGTCTCTTCCACCTTCATACCAGGCAACATAGCTCCCTGAACTGATTCCCCTTCAGGTGTGATCCCCCCACTGGGACCTTCGGCTCACTAGCCCTAGCTCATCTCCAGGCCAGTTGGAACCCCAGGCCTTCAGCTCTTGGGCATTCCTTGTGGTGGGCCCCCAGCCCTTTGACCCTTCCAGTCCTGGACCCAGCATAGGGCAGTCAGGGGAAGTTCAGACAGGCCCTGAGTCAGTGGCCCTTACTCTTCTTCATGGGGTCCACCTTCCCGACCCTCCAACAAGGGGTAACCCACCCGGTTGTGGGGGCTAGGGGTTAAGGCACCCTGACCTGCTTTTCACCAGGGTGGTAACTGGCCTGGCATTTCCTCCCGTGCCATTGAGAGCCCCACCAGGCCACCCACTCCCAGCAGGGTGCAGTTTTAGGTTGTACCCAGGACCAGGAGCCTCCTTACCATCCCCTGCGGCTCCTCCCTTACCTCCAGATGATATCAGCAGCCCTCCGGCCAACCGGTGTTGTTGCCTGGCCCCCAGCAGCAGAACTGCCTTGTTTATATGGGCAGCCCTGAATCTAAAATGGCTGCTCTCGTTAGGCACCTGGTGGCTTCCAGCTCCAGGCCCTTAAAGTGGCAGGCACAACCAGTGCCCTGCCACACATGGATACTAATCAAAACGCTCACCAGGAAACTCATAGAAATCAGGACTAGGAGACACTGGCAGGCTTAAAGATCATTTCTGCCTCAGAACAGCTTTAATACAGAATTTAGCACCACCAGAAAACTGAACTATGGAAGAGTCTGCTTTAAAATGCAAAATAATAAAATAATGTTATTTAGCCCTAACTATACATTATTCTACTGGTATTATTTGCAAGCTCAAGGTGTATCTTTTCATCTACTTCAATGACAAGGTATGCAATTAAAAAAACCCAGCCAAGCCTACGCTACAAAAAGGAGATCTGTGAGCCAGTGCATATTTTTGCATCGTGCTCCTTCAAGGTGTTTTCCACCTTACAAAGGAAAGATTAGGAAGATGACAAGTATCTTTCATTCACATGCCCAAAAATTTAGAGTAGAAGACCAAGTCAACATTCTTAACCAGAAATTAGGCTATTAGAAAATACCTTCAGATGGGTTGCCCGTTTAAAGGCTTTATTGCAGATGTGGCAGACATGGATTCTCTCCTTGCCGTGAACCTCTTTACTGTGGTGCATTAACATGGTAGTTGATGGAAAGGTTTGATTACATTCAAAACACTGGTGTACTCGACCTTCTTTTTCTGCTTGAGTGCCCTTAGTCAGGTTAGGAGAAACCTCAGTAACCTGCAACAATATATAAAACACTGTCAGTGATGCAGAAAAATTGGAACTACATCGCCTAAAATCAACAAATTACTTTTTCTAGTTAGATACTCTGGCTCAATTAAATCTGAAGAATACTTAATAACCATATATATTTAAACATATGCAACCATTTGGCATCCAACTCCTTAATAAAAAAATAAAGAAAAAGATATAGGGAAATACAGACTCATTTTATTATTTTTCCTTTTACATCTCTTATTTTATTGAAGATGGTCTATACAACACATGAAAATATCTGAAAATAGACAATACATTCTGGTACATAATATGCATAAAAAATTCAAGTCTTTGAAGATCTAACCTATCTTTATTTTTAAGAGACTAAGGCCTTATACTTCAGTACCCACAAATAAAAGGCGGCAAAAATAATTCATGTTTATTTCCAAGTGTCTGCAAAATACAGTAAATTACATATTGCTACAAAACTGAAAGTCTGGATATGGACCAGACTTTTGCCTCTTGCTTTCAGTTTGTGGCTTTTTTCTTTTTCTGTGGGGTACCAGAGAGGTCTGCAGGAAAGGAGACTACTACTTTTTCCTGGAGGTATGAGACATTATACAAAGGTTGAAGTTTAATTTTCATGACAGAGCAGGTAAACCAAATGTCAGACTACTGTTTCATAAACTGATCACTTTTTCATGGAAGGGATGCGCCATTAACTCCTTAAGAGTGGTTACAGATGCAGAGAAGCCAACATTTTATATAGAGGGTTCCTTGAAACAGGGGAAACATTATTTCCCAAAATGAAAAGGAAAAGCCAGTAAGAATTGAGGTGATGCTTTCTGCTTTAATATAACAAAAATGTTGTGTAATTAGGCATCCATCTCAATCATTAAATCTATAAACACTCTTGTTGATTTCTATAGGGCTACTCAAGCTCTTAAAGTTAAGCAAGTGAATAAATAACTTATCCCCAAAAAATCAGGTTTCTGTGAAGACATCACTGAACTATGATATAAGAAGACTGTTCTCTGGCCAGTGTCTTAACTGCAGTTACATGAAGCCCCCAAATGACAGTGTGATCATTAAAAACTGTCAAGGGCAGTTTACAAGGGAGAAATCATAGTTATTTTAAAGAGAGTACCAAGGAGAGATTTATTAATGATTTGAAACTAAAGTGTATTCTGCCTAAGAATGAAAATTAATAGGTTAGTTAAGAAAATCAGTGTAATTTAACTGAGGACAGTATACATTTTACATCTAATTTTATTTAAAAAGCCTGTTTCATCTCTGCATTGTATGATTTATATAGTGGACGGATATACTGGCAAGACCTCACAATATGAGAAATCTCTGGCAAGATGCATGCTTCTCTGTAAAAGCTACTTTAAGAAGAGGGCAATATTATATTCAGTGTAAACTATATTTCTTGTGCATTCATTCTCCAAAGTACAGTTTGATCAAGATTTAGAACAAGTCACAAGGCTATCATTTATGGGTATAAATAGAGAGATTTTACAGATCATAAGCCATAGATATTTGTAGTGTGTAAACATTTTAATGTATATATCAATAATGATTATAATTAAAATTAAACGGAAGTATTTCTTTGCAAAGAATGGCATGGCTAGAATTGGAGGAAGAAAATTATACTAGACAGAATGTACTTTTAATTAAACATCTGGATTGGTGATAAAAATAACTTCGAACTGATGTAAACTGTATGATTGTCAGAGCTGTAGATACTCCAATACAGTTAAATGACTATTGCTATAAATTGAATGGCTGTGAAGAAAAAAAAGACTGAAAGGGAAAGATTTTGTCCCTATACTTCTAAATAAGGAGAAGGAAACTGAGGATCTCAAAAGTGTGCTGATAAGATACTTAGGAAATAAAGATGGAAATTTAATCTTGGTCCACATGCCATTACATTCTGGAAAATGAACACCTCACTACAATGGAATGATACTCTGTCTACATTCAGATGCAATTCTGAGCATACATGTATGTTATATGTGTAAAGTTACTCATATAGATCTAGCTTTTTTTAAATAAGGAAGAGTTAAACATTTCATACCTTCCCAACCTTTTAGAAGATTTATAGGAGGGAGAAGTTTTCATCTATAGAGAAGTTCATGCTACTTTTACAGTTTATTTTGTTTTTTCTGCAGCAAGGTTAACATTTTAAAAAATGTAAGTAACTTTGACAATTAAATCCTAGTTTCAAAAGGAGCTAGGCTCTTTGATGCCCACAAGTGAAATTTTAAAAAGTGCCTTCATCCAATTAAAGAGTATTGAATTTAGATCACTTAGGCAGTCCTGAAAATTTCACCTTGTACTTGAGAGAAGTAACTTGAAGGTGCTTTATTCTTTACAGATGCAAAAGGAAAAAACATATTTATATCCACTAACTCACAGAATAATCTTAAAGAATGAAACATGAAATGCAGCCTACGCTACTGTAGATGAAAATATTTGGGATAGAAAAAATATATAGATTTTCAATGAAAAATTGCATAAAACAGAAATGAAAGAAAGTTTACTAGAAAACAAGTGCAGTGTCAAGCAAACTAAGGATATGACCAAGCATTCATCTGTAGTGCTATAAATGCCTGGGAAATCTGTGGTGCTACAAAAACATAGCATTACTTGCATATGGCTATTCAAGTGCCTGATCATTTGAAACACTACAAAGTTTAAGAAAAGCATATTGCTAACACTCCACAGCTAGGTGGGATGGCATGCAAAGATCCCAGCATGCTTCGTAGGCTCCCTGCTCTCCCCTCTCAATCTCTGCAAGTTCCTGAGGACAGGCAAGTGCAGCAGAAAATGCTAATTGGCTGTCTGCCCAGGGAGCACGCCCACCCAGGGACTCATCCACAAGGGGAGTACAGAGCCACAGCAGCTTTGGTCAATTTTGATTCCTAAAGGCTCATCAGTTATGCCCCTAGCCTGGAAAGGATCCCTACTGTTCTGTGTCCTGTGAATCCTGATCCAGTACTCCTACTGGCAGAGTCAAGGCCTGTCATCACTTTTTCAGCAAGCATTTTCAGCTCCTGTACAGGCTGATAAGCAGACGTGACTGGAGTCATGTGTGCCCTTGAGTTCTCTCTGTTTTGTGTCTGCCAACAGCCACATAGCTGCCTAGATGCCATGGAGGTTAGGGTGCTTTGGGACCACTTACAGCCCATGTATCAGCACTTCTTTGCATGTAAAATAAGCACCTGTTGGTGTCAGTGCATTGTTCTGAGGACCTGGGAGAACGACCACTGGCAGCAGAACTGCAAGATAAGCCTAGCCACCTTTCTATAACTATCCACTGAGCAGGTTCCTCCTGTCATGTTACAGAGTACTAGCACAAGGGTGAAGAAGGATCTTGCCACTGGCATCCAGAAACCTGCAATCTGACAGAACCCATTCCATGGCCAACCTCTTTGGTACTTTGGCAAGTTCACAGTCAGAGAGAGAGACAGGGCAGGTGGTGTGACTGGCCACCCAGCACCTGCTGACACTGTGCTTCATTTGTTTTGGCAACATATGGGATGTCGTCAGCAGGGGAAGGGTACTGATGACCTTGTGGAGATTTTGTGGATGAAGAATGTCTGAATCATAAACTGCCACAACCTCTTGGGCTTGCAGACCCCATGCCCAGTCTCAAATTTTAAGTGATTACACAGCACTGCACAAAGCACATAAGCACCTCCCAGTGAAACTACTCAAAACAGCAGTCTCTGGCAGACAATGCCCCTTGCTGTTTTGCAATTATCTCAGTTTCAGGAGAGGCACTGACTGCCCTGTTTTCCCAAGCCTTTTCTTATTACAGCAACCTGAATCACATTTGGCTGACCTTCGACTTACTGCACACGAACTCAACCACTCCTGAGTTTTTGTTTTTTGTCCTTGCTGAGTGATAAAGCCAGAGATATTGATGTCACAAGAACAGATACTTATGCTGCATGACAAGAGGATTTGTGAGGTGGGTTCATGCTGTGTTTTTTGGAAGATGGAGCAGAAATGAATTCAGGTAAAGCTGCCAGCGTGATTCTCTTTGGATAAATCAGCCAAATGATCACCAAAGTATGGGGTGGCTTGAAATCAGGTTTCATATGGATTGGGAAGGATTTTATTTTCTTCATGAAGAACAGCATCATGACTTACCTCTTCCTCTCATGTGTATTACATGAGGAAGAAGGTACCGATGATGTGATTGTTTCTCTGGCCACTTTGAGTTGGTGGACCATCTGAAGGCTGAGACAGACGGGGTTGGCTTGGGCATTGCGGGTCTTGGGAGTAGCACAGCTAGGGATGGAAAAGGAGAGCGCAAGCCCTGGGTGCAAGTTTAGAGGGGAGACCAAAACGGCAAATCTGAGGGAGAGAGCCTGTATCACTCTGTGTCACACCTCAGTAGTAACCTGCATGTGGGGAAGTCTTCTCTTGCATCTCTTCCCAGGATGCCAAAATCCCTAGTTAGGCTTCTTTGCCCTGGCTTTGGGTGACATGTTGCAAGCCACTGCTTGAAGCTGTCTAGGCCTGCAGAGCAGGTAAGAGGGTTTGGTGTGCTTTCACACAGAGCTTCAGACGGGTACGGCAGCATGTAAGCTCAACTCCTCCTTGAGGCAGTAGAGTTCAGCATGAGTCACAGGACAAGTTCCTTGGTATTGTGGAGCCCAGGAATAGTGGGAAGGGGACAGTTAACAATGCATTGTAGGATGCTGAAGGATTGGGACAAACCCTATAGTGTAACAAAATGCTGCACTGCTGAGAAGTTTCTGTTTGAAAGAGAGAAAATTTTGTTGCTGTTCCACCATTTTTTTTTTAGGGCTGCAAGTGAACTGAACAATACTCTTTTACTTTTTGCAGTGCCACAAAAGCAACACAAGTCCACAGCCTATGATGAATAGTGTGAACTGTACACATATGCTATGATTCAAAATTGTACCTTTCCAGAAAAAGGCTGAAGTGTGGACATCTCAACTTGGATGTTAGCAACAGTTAAAATAAGAACTAAACATGATCTACTGTAGCACATATTAAAAGGGACCAAGGGAAAGTATTAAACTTATTACATTAACTGTAATTAGTCTGCTTTTCATTACTATATTCAGATGTAGCTATCCTCTTTCAGAAAAGACATAAAGCATATGAACACACAAAGCAGCCAAGTAAAAAGCAGATAAGGATTATGCATTAGCTGATCCACAGTAACTGTTTCATGTGTCTCTTACCTCACACAGTAAGTGAAAGGTAATGGCTAAATTACTGTGGTTTAGCTTTCTTTTACTATAGGAAAGACAGGACACAAAATACATACTATTGGCCAGTTGACATGAGGTAAGCCCATTGCCTTTTAAACATGTAATATTTGTTCACATGTATGGTACAATAATAAAAAAGACCAAAAAAAATTATGCAACACAAATGAAAGGGAAACAATGCATGGATTTAAAAGCCTATGACTAGTTTGAAAAGAAGCCTAAAAGATGCATATTTTTAAAGCCATTCCTCTTCTAAGAGATATTTTTAGTACCGTACTAATATTAAATTGATAGCATGGTGTGATTACATGGTAACAGTGTTTATGTATGCATCTGCAGGAATCATATGTATAAACTATGTATTTTACCTGTAGCATTAGAAGCCTGATCTTAGATATTTAGTTCAGAGAAACATTACAGTAGGATGGAATTTTGGATGATACTATATAAAGTACAATAATTTAGAGTAGATTGTTACAGGGATGTTGTAATTATCCCAAAATAAAACAGTACAAAGATAGAAAACTTAGAATTTTGGTCCAAGTCCCAGATTTGAGGATGATAATTTTAAGACACATTATACTTTTGTTCTCTTCTTACAAATATGTTTTTAGATTCTACAATTAAGGGATTTTCTTAAGAATTCTCAGGAAATTCATTCTAGACTCACAGTGTATTATAATGTTCTAAACTTTCTATTTTTTTTCCATACAAAACAAAGAGGTTAAACTTGTGCTTTAAGTGCAAATTGCACTAGCCTTACGTATGAAGCTGGCATCTCCCTAATAAAGCACAATAATTAGGATAAAAATTAAAACACCAAACTTTCTGCTTCAGGGCAAACTTAAATTAATGCTCTGATTAAACTCATGTTTCTGTATATAAAGGTAGGCAAATAAACCATATCTACCTGATATGTTATTTCATCCGAGTTTGCAGATGTTGAATGTGGTGTATGGCTCACCAATATGACTTGCTGCGAACCTGATGCATTCTGGTTGGAGAGACTGGAATCTGTCAGTAAGGCAGGGAACTGCTGACCCTGTCAAAATAAAATTGTTTGACTGATTGTTCATTCAGACACACTCGACTTCATCAATAACCACTAACTCTGAGACATAACATGGCATTAAGTAAAAGTTCATTTTACTGCAACCTTTTCCTCCACTTCAGTACCTTCTCACCCAAGATTTGTGTGCACCTGCCATTCTTACTGTCTTTTCCCCTACTTGATCTCCCATATTCCTATTTCATTCTTTTTTCCCACTCCTCAGTACACACATCCAAAATATGTAAAATCACCTCCCAAGAATCCTGGAACTAATGTGATGTTTGCTGACATTGTATTGTTTATTCTGCTTGTGTTTTACAGTTATTCACTCACCCAGTGAATCGTGGCTTGGATCATAAACATTGTGACAGAGATCATCTATTAGACTGTCTGTACAGCACCTATGACCTTTGGGACCCATTCTTTTTGATTCTTGGGAACTGCCACAATACATATGATCATCAACTCTTCCAAAAATCACACAGCTTAAAACACTGCAGAGTCTGAAATTATACCTTGAGTACTATCACAGACATGTCTTGCACAAATTGGCTGGGAAGCACATCACTTATTTTTGACAGGCACGATAATTATTTTACATGCGAAGTTGAAAGACTGGGGTTCAATGTAAGAATACAGGCCCCTTGATAGATTTTGTTTCAGCACATTTAAAAATATTTTATGTTAACAGTTTTATACACTTATACTTCATACATGGAAAAACCAGGTTTAGTCTTAGATCAGTAATGAAGTAAGTAGTGAAATATTAGATATCCTCACATGTAAACATTGAAATGAAATACTGATTAGTAGAAAGGCTGACCCTATATCTGCACTACACACCACTGAATTTAAAATCAGTAAAATTACTAGTTCTACTAATATGATATCATATTAGGCACTGTAAATGGAATTGTATTAATGCCAGAATCAAAAGTCTCATCACTGTAAAAATTCTATTTCAGAAGAGCTCTGAGGCTGTTTAAGTAAATTTTAATAGTTTTAGATAACAGCGTGCACACTTAACACCAAAAGGGCATCTGTCAGATATTCAACTGCTATCTGTAAGTGGAAAAAATTACTTTCAGAACAAAAAACACCGACACAGTTTGTCCCTTGAGGTTGCAATACTAGTTTACCAGACAGGTAAGAAGTGCATGCCTTTGTGGTAAATGAGACACACCTGTGAAGTGATATTAAGTGTAACTGCATCGAGACCACCAGACAACATGCCCTGAGTATCAGAAAGGGTCAAGGTGACACTGCCATCTCCTCCAACCCCTGATGAAGACATTACTAAGTTCTGGGAAGAAACAGTAGATTGAGACATAGGTGGTGTTGAGGGAAGGTTTCCACCTGATGTATTAAGCTCTAAAAAATAAAGTACAAATGACGTTAAAAACACGTTAAAAATTATATGCATCAAATTTTAATGCAGATTTACCTCATTTTAGGTTAAAAAATTCTACAACATTTTTTGCTTGGCGATTTTTTACAATGACTTGCTGAAATGCTAATGTGCTGAAATTACAGATTTGTCTCCTCTTATTAGTCAAACAAATGGCAAATAACATACTTTTTATATAAAATTATAACAGGAGGCTGACAGTTATATGGACTGATATGTCACATTTTATAGCCATATATTTGAAAAGGCTGCAGCACTCCATGGACAATGATTTGTTGCTTGCACAAATAACTAAAGGCACATTTTAATGCTGCTTAATAAACTACATACCATCTTATGACAAATCAAAATGAACTCTAGTCTGACCATTTTCGGGACCCATGCTAATATTGATTTTGGCTAATATTCATTTTTGTCTACCTATAAAAGACGCCAAGATAAAAAAATACAAAACTTTTAAAATGGCAAAACAAGAAATCCCTGCCAAAATAACCAAGAGCCTAGTTCAAGTGACCACTTGGTATACCAACAGCACAGCTACAATTATTTAATAGGATTTCATAACATTGGTTCTCTCTAAAATAAAAACAATGCTGGTCATTCTTATGGGGCACATATACACATGTATTTACTCTGACCTAGATTTACTGTGGTGTAAACTAATCCAGAGTATGCGGTTTTGGACAGGTATCTACTGGTCCAAGATTAGGGAAAAGATTTAAACCAAGTTTCCTGCAACTCTGCAATGGGCCCCTGCGGCTACCAAGGGGTGCTCCAGGCGCTCCCCAGGTGCTACCCCAGGGGCTGACAGGGAGCACAGGGCCAGGAGATGGCTGTCTCCCAGCTCAGGGGAAGGGAGAGGGGCTACCTGCTGCTGGGGCGGGGACAATGTCCTCCTGCCCCGGAAGCAGGGAGCTCCTGGCCCTGGCCCTGGCTCCTCAAATCAGGGGCAGGGGACTTGGAAAAAGCTGCAGGGGAGGGGCAGGTCCCAGCCTCCTCCCCCAATCCATCGGTGGGGCCGCTAACAGTTAGCTTACTGCTAGCTGCCTCACCAGTAGATTGGGGCACGGGGCTGGGACCTGTCCCTCAACAGGACAGTTCCTATCCCCCTCCCTGCAGGTTGGACAGCTTGTTCCTCACCCAGCTCTGTAAGCACAGAGTGAGGGGGAGGAAGATAAAGCTCCCAGCTGCCTGGGCCTAGCATAGGTGCAGGATAAACCCCATGTATATACTCTGTGTCAATTCAGCTGCCCCATCTATATCCACTTAATTTTTCACAACTGCTCTGAGCTAACTCAGACATAAAACCAAATTTCTTCGTTGTGGTTATACAAAGAGAACTGTACAATTAATCAATGTTTATAAATGGTGCAGAACTTATAACTGATCATCCTGATGCCTGATCATTTTTTTGGAATCTCCAGCTAAAGGAAAAGATTCCTTTGGGGTTTAAAAAACAAACTAAGTAGCTTAGTTCTAGGATATTTTTAATACAGCAAATTTGTAAATGAAGGCCTGAATTCACAACAGATTTTGGCATCATTAACAAAACAGAGTGTGTTAAATATTCACCTCGTATGTAGGAAACTTTGCATCATATGCGTTCACAACAGACTTTGGCATCATTAAAAAAACAGAGTGTGTTAAGTATTCATATCATATGTAGAAAACCTTGCATCTGCTTACATCAGAGCAGGGTTTTGAACTGGTTTCACTGACTTTCTAGTATCATAGGATATTCTGGGGATATTCTCTCAAATGCAGCTCTTCTTTGTATAAATATTTACAATATTTATCCACTGGGTGAGACAAAGGGAAAAAAGGACTAAAATGTGATGGCTACCTTTCAGTCATGGGAAAGATGCTTCAATTTCAATCTCTACTCCAGCAGATCATTATAGATACTTCATCTATTGTGCAAAAGAGTGTAGGTGGAGTACTGCATCACTATTTCTTTCTCCTCCTCCTCCTCCTCCTCAGTTTTGTGTATGGCAGATATGTTGTCCCCCAGACTAAAAAAACTTTAGTTTCAGTAATATTAAAATGAACCTCAAAAATTCAAATTTAAGTGAATCCAAAACTGCATTTCTAAGTAAACTAATTCTTCTCCTTTAGAAAAACTGTCCCTATATCAGGGTCTGGCAACATTTAGCAAGCTGTGGTAATGTGAGCCAGCTGGTTTTGGCAGCATGTCAGCAGTGCAGGGCTTTGCCCATGCTGGAGGCAGACAGCTGGGAGCAGTGTCCATGCTGCCGTCACTTCTCCCTGGCTGCAGAGCAGGTGCAGCTTCCAGCCAGGAGGTAGCTTAGCAGGGGCTGGGTAGCTGCAAACTGCATCTGTACTGCCACCACTACCCTATGCTTCCCCCATGTGCTGGAAGCTGCACTAATGCTATAGCTGGGAATGCGGGGGAGGAGGGAGAGGTCGAAGTGGCAGTGGCAATAGTAGGAAGCGTCACAGTCCCAGCCTGGGCACAGGCAAAAGTCCTCCAGCTCCAAGGGCTTGATCCTGTGACTCCATGGACCGAATGTGGCCCACTATGTTGTTGCCCCATACCCTAGGTATTAAAACAGGATGTTCATCCACTGAGATTGAAAGGAAGCAGTAGTAGGGACCTACACACCAAGAACATATTCTGCAGATTTTATTTTTCACATACCAGGGAGTAGGAAATGCTACTCATTTACAGATTTCTAATAATATGGGTCCCATAGGACATTTCCACATGACCCATTATCACAGCTCTGCCTTACTCCTCGAGTTTAACAAGCCATCTCTCCATTATTCGTTTAATTATCTCAAAACAGTATTTAGAGGTACATGGCCTTATTTTCCCTCCCTCTTCTTCTGGCCAAGGTGAATGTTTCAACTGACAAGAAACAGAATTTTGGCAAGAGATTAGATCACTCACTACAATCATGTGGTCTCCAATTGCCAAGAACAAGACCATAATGTTCCAGATGTATTCCACTGGCCCTACAATTATTTTTTCACATATTATAACTGTTTGTATGTTTTACTGCGGGCATACCTGAAGTGTTCAGTGATGTACCCTGAGAGAGAAGCTGATCATTGCTTATAGTTATAGTAGCACCTGTTGACTGATTGCTGATTGCTGGAGTCGTCAGTCTTAAGCTCCCATTCATATCACTACTTCCAGAAGAATTATGCTGAATAAGATCTTGACCTAAATAAAAATTAATTCTTTTATGCCTGGAAATACCTCAAGATTTATTTTTCTGCTAGCTAAAGTAAATAAATGTTACAATGTAAAAGCAACCAAAAGGATAAGTTTTGAGATGTTTGGGGCAATACAAAAAAAATGACGACAATACACTAAACTAGGGTGAAATATTTTTCAAGAGCATTAGTTATCCAATTAACTTAGAATAAGTTTTGTGTAGTTAGATGCATAAAGATGTCTTCACAAGACCACAAGATTGTGCTGAACAACACTGACTGTTGAACTCATCCTCTGCTAGAAAAGCTCTCTCATCTAGTGTTGGTTTTGTGGTATTGTCTTTTGGCAGAAAACTCAGATTAAAGTTTAGGACAAAGCTCCAAGTCCCTCAGCCTCTCCTCGTATGGCTTGTCTTGCAAGTCCCTGATCATACGGGTGGCTCTTCTCTGGACCCTCTCAAGTTTTTCCACGCCCTTGTTGAAGTGTGGCACCCAGAACTGGACACAGTACTCCAGCTGTGGTCTCACCACTGCAGAGTAGAGTGGAAGTATCACTTCCTTAGGTTTGCAAGAGATGCAACGGTTAATGCATGCCAGCGTGTTGTCTGCCCTGCTGGCCACAGCATCGCACGGCCGGCTCATGTTTATGCAATTGTCAATCACTACCCCTCGGTCCCTTTTGGCTGTGGTGTGAATTAAATTGTTGCCACCGAGTTTGTAGGTATGTTGGGGATTGTTTGCCCCCGGATGGAGCACCTCACATTTTTGAGTGTTGAACTTCATCTGGCTCCAGTGCGTCCCCATAACTTGGTGTTGCCCACAAACTTGGCCAACGAGCTTTTCACCCTCATATCCAAATCATTGATAAAGATGTTGAAAAGCACCAGTCCAAGCATGGACCTCTCAGGGGGTCCATTCAAGAGAACTATAGGTCCTACCATGCAGCCAGTTTTCCACCCACTGAACAGTTGCTCAGCAATTAAGCCCACAATCTTCCAATTTTTCCACAAGGATATCATGGGATACTATATCAAAAGCCTTTTGGAAGTCTAGGTATATAATGTTGACCTTCTTTCCTGTGTCCAGGTGGCGAGAGACCTGTTTGTAGAACGAGATGAGATTGGTAAGACAAGACCTACCCACAACGAAGCCATGCTGGCTGTCATTCAGAATCTTACCCTCAATGAGCGTATCATACATAGATTATTTAATGAGTTTTTCCAGGATTTTTCCTGGGATGGAGGTTAGGCTGACTGGCCTATAGTTGCCTGGGTCCTCTCTTTCCCTCTTCTTGAAGATGGGCACAATGTTGGCCCTCTTCCAATCCTCACGGATCTCCCATGTGCCACGATTTCTGAAAGAGTTTTGCCAGGGGTTCCACAGTGACCTCAGCCAGCTCCATCAGCACTCTCAGGTGAAGTCCATCTGGTCCTACTGACTTATAAATGTCTAGCTTTTCTAGTTTGTTTGCACCAGCTCAGCATCCACAGTGGGAAGGCTATCATTCCCATCATGCCCCATGTGATCTATATCTTGCTTGTCTGTTCTCTTGGTTTGGTGAAATACCGAAGCAAAGTGGGCATTCAGGAATTCAGTTTTTTCTTGAATGTCCGTTCCCAGCTGTCCCAAGGTGTTAAGCAGGGGTCCTATGCTTCCATTTGTTTTCCTTCTGGTCCCTACATACCTGAAGAAGGACTTCTTACTATCCTTGACTCCCTTGGCTAACTTAAACTCAGTTCCTGACAGCTTTCCTTATCATTTTCCTACAGAGAGCAGATTCAGGGTAGACATCAGGAGGCACTACTTCACAGTCAGGGCAGCTAGGATCTGGAACCAACTTCCAAGGGAAGTGGGTCCTTGCTCCTACCCTGGGGGTCTTTAAGAGGAGGCTAGATAGACACCTTGCCAGGGTCATCTGACCCCAGCGTTCTTTCCTGCCTGTGGCAGGGGGTCCGACTTGATGATCTGCTCAGGTCCTTTCCGACCCTACTAACTATGAAACTATGAAACAAGTGCAGACCACTGTTGTACAGTCGTCCTTGAGGACTGTCCCTAGCTTACACTGTGTGTACACCTCTTTTTTCTTTTTCAAGAAGACTGTGATGTCCCTATTGAGCCAGGAGGGCTTGCCAGCCCTTCTGCTGCCTTTCCTCTTCATGGGAACAGTTTTCTTTTGTGCTTCAAGGATCGTGTCCTTGAGGACCATTCTTCTTGCACCCAATTCAATTTCCATCCCTGGTCCCGCATTGCCTCTGCTACTAATGCTCCGAGCCTGTTGAAGTCAGCGTTTCTGAAGTCCAGGACTTCAATCCTGCTAGTTGATTTGTCAATCTCGTGGTTGAGCTCATAGTCACTGTTGCCCAGGCTGCCCTCAACGTTCAAGTCACACACCAGATCATCTCCTTTGGCCAAGACCGAGCCTAGAAGAGCAGTACCTCTGTTCGACCCTTACACTTCCTGGGTCAGAAAGAGCTCCTTGATTACAGTTAAGAAGCTACATGACAAAGCTAACCTAGCCGCATGTTCCTGCCAATCTATGTCCGGGTAATTGAAGTCACCCATGACAACCAAACCCCTTGCACGTGTGGCCTCTGTCAGTTCCTGAGAGAACTCCAGATCAATTCATATTAGTGGTGGTGGCCTTTGATACAAGATACCTAGAGGCTGAGATTGTAACCCATGCCCTACTTGTCATTTTTAGCTGGATGGGCTTTCCAAAAGAAATACACTTAGAGAGAGAAGCAAATTCCATGTCCCTTCTGTTCAAAGAATTATGGAACTTTTATGAGACAACACAGCTGAAGTCTACACTCTACCACCCAGAGTCTAATAGACCAGTTGAAAGATTTAATGCGACTCTCAAGTCTATATTAAAAATGCATGCAACTAAGAGGGTTGGTGACTTGGGACACAATGTTGCTGTATATATTCTTCAGGTATCAGGAAGCACCCAAGGAATCCACAGGGTTTGCTCACTGATGAACCAAGATAAGGGTGGATGTTATACAGGAATGAGATAATTTTCTTCTGCTGCCTCAGTTCTTGCATCTTTGAAGGCTATAACTGTTTAAACCCCGTAGCCCTTCCTTTTTTTGTTTGTTTTTTTTAAATCGAGCTTACATGGGCAGGTAAGGAGTATGTTGCTTTGATGGTATTACAGCCATGACTACCTCCAGTTTCCCCAAATACTGAAAATAAAATTTCCCCAAACAAATAAAAGAAACCTTAAAATGCATTAGGAGTAGGGCAGGACATTGTATAGAAAATTAAGGCATTACAGAATCAAGACAATAATGGGTACAGTACTGGTACTGTAAAGTAAAGTACTTTACTCCTCTAAAGTAATATTGTAGAACTGAAGAACACAGGGTCCAAGAAGGGAAACAAGGATACAGACAAGCAAGAAAAAAGAAAGTCTTACATTTTTTTGATGAGTGAATTGGAGTGCTAAGTTGAATTTAGTATAAAGACTAAGTTGTCAACCTCAGAGAGTAAAAAAGTAAAACAGCTATATTAATACAATGAAGAAAGAGACAGAATCAAACCTGACCATCCTCACAGCAATGTTATTCAATATTAAAAGATATACCTTGGGAAGCTATGACAGACACCCCCCCCCACCCAAAAAAAACCGAACGTGAAATATTTCAACTTAAGGTAAAATTGCAAGCAACAGAGCTATCCTGCAAATGCCAACAAGCAAATGCTAATTTACTGGATTAGAGGCAGGGGCTAAGAGTACTAAAATATACTAACCAGAAATAGTTAGAGTAATTTCTTGTGGACTTCCTGATGAGTTTGTAGTGGAGGTACCAGTAGCATGTGCTAGGACTTGACTCAAACTTGAATTATTTATAGTCAATGTTATCTCATGTTGACCATTTGACGTGGACACCATGCCCTGCGACGTCATCACTTGAGAGAGATCCTGTGCACCTAAATGTAAGTTTAGGGAAAAAATATATTATTTCTTATTTTTATTGCTGTAGTTTAACCAGTATAACAATGTTAAAGACCTAACAATGACATTCTGAGTTTCTGAACCATATTAGAGATGCTTAAAGGTGAAAAAGCCACTGCTTCTAAAATAGGACAGGGCAAAATACAGCCTGCAGGCCAGATCCAGCCCGCCAGGCATTTTTGTCTGGCCCCCGGAGCATTCAATGAATTGTACCCTGCCCAGCCCTTTCACTGTTGAGGGTGGGAGCAAGGCACCCATGTATACACACAGCTCCCAACACACCCTATTGCACCTCGCTTCCACCCTTGTAGGCGGAAGGGCCCAGGCCAGCCAGAAGCAGCTTCCAGGCAGGGCTGCTTCTACAACTGCTGCAGCCACCACAGGGGGACCTGCTTGGCTTCCCTCGTATCCTGCTTGTTCCAGGCAGCAGGGAGGGAAGCAGTGGGTGCAGGGGGAGCTGCAGCCGAGTGGGGGCAGGGAGGGTAGGACTGGGGCTGACAACAGCGTGGAGCCCAAACCCAGGGAGGTGGCAAGAGCATGAAGCCTGAGTGGGCAGGGTGTGGGTGTGAGGGAGGGTCGAGGGGTGTGGGGCCCACTCTCCCTCACACTCCTCCACATGGCACACTGACCCTGCTACCAGCAGCTGCAACAGGTGGGGGCACTTGGGGTGCTTGTACCCTGTGCAGGTGCTGGCGCCTGGCTCCAGCCAATGCTGTGTGTGGGGGCAAGGAGTGCAGCCTGCCTGGTTCGCCTCTACTGAGTGGGCTCTGTGTGGCATGCGGGCAGCTCCTACACTTGTGCAGCACTGGGTGAAGCCCACATGTTGGAGCTGGCTGCCTCCCCTGCCCCTGCTGTGCAGGTCCTGGGACTCCACCAGGAGTGGAGGAAACCCCATCTCCTGCTTTCCCGTGGAGTCCCAGGACCTTTACATCCAGGAATGGTGAAGGCAGCTGGCTCCAGCATGGGGCTTCCCCTGGTGCCACACAAGTGTGGAAGCTGCAGGCATGCCACGTGGAGCCCCAGCAATAGAGGCGGGCTGGCCAGGCTGTGTTCCTTACCCTCATGCGCACCGCTGGCCAGACCCACATGCCATTGGGCACCAGTATGGGGCATGAGCACCCTGAGCACCCCCACCTGCTGCCAACAGTGTGGGCTGCATGCCATGTAGGGGAGTGTGTGGAAGGACCCCACACCCCCCCACCCACACACTGCTTCCACAACCGTCCCACATATACCACCTCACAATATACCCTATGCCCTTCCACAAACAACTACGCTGCCTCACAAACCCCACACAAACACCCCCAAGCACACCCCACCCTCCTGTCTACTCTGGCACCTGTGAGGAAGGTGGCGATTGCCTTATTGCCACGCATGTCACCCCCTCACCCACAGCTCCTACCT